GTCTACACTCTACTTTCATGATGAACTTGATCTCAAACGAAATAAATACTACGTATATTTTATGTGTTTGTTCAAATTCATTTTATCTATTCATTTATAAAGACTAAGAAATCTAAGTACATGAAAAGAATTTTTTTTAAATATCATAACATTTCATTTTCTTTTGAACTTTCCAAGGTAAGAAAAAGAAATTATATTTCCATATCATTTTTATTTTCCTTGGAATTTGTGTGGTCTATAGATACTCATAGTGTTCAAGAAAACAATTCACCAGCACCTTGACAGTTAATTCACTGCTAGTAGAAGAATACGATAAAGGGGAATTAGAGAAAAGTAAATATTTAAACCTTTGCTTGTCTCAACATTGCATCCACCAGTGTAGTCTTTCCGTGGTCTACATGAGCCACAATTGCTATATTCCTTATGTCACTTCTCCTCATTACATGCTCCTTTTTCTCTAAAAGTAAGGCATGTTAGAATATTAGATTTAGATAAACTAAGGCCATACCACATTCCTTGTGTATCTAAAATCCAGAAGTATAATGCAATTTAGCAAATACAACAACAAGAAAACCCATTATAATTCCAACTCGGTGGTGTGTGAGGTCAAGATGTACGCAACCTAACTTACTAGTTACTACCCAAAATGTCATATGAAGTAATAAGCACTGTTTTGAATTATTTTTTTATTTACCCAAAGCTAAAACAGTGACTTTTTTAGCACCAGGGCAATGGAAACAATGTGAATTTAGCAAACGTGGACATGAATTCGAAACCCAACAATGGTTCCCCTCAATGGCCATTCTCTTGTGATTGGAACAATATGTGAATCACAATTCAGAACACCATCAATTCAACAACAAAAATTTAATATTAAATTATCATTGCAACAGAATATCTGAATCATAATTCCATCAATTTAAACGTCTCATAATAGGAACGGGAAAGCCCTGCACATTACCGGGCTGGATTTCAGTGGCCTGAGAAGCAGAACATCTGATAGAACTCCGAAGTGGGTTTGCTGAGCTGAACTGGGGAGGAGGTTTGGCTGTGAAACAAGAAGCCAATTTGCTTCCAAATGGAAGATTTCTCAAGAAAGGAGATGAAAGACTGGCGCTTTTTGTGGTTCCATGGATATTGGTTCTTTGAGGTAGAGTAGCCTGTAGAGAGATTGACGAGCGCGAAGCAATAGCCATCTCCATTCTGAAGGAGAAGCTTAGGAATTGGGATGCAATTTCAGTTTTGATTGGTAAGGATGCAGGCATATGATGCTTGTTGATAAGGGACAATCAAACGGTTAGGATCAATTACACTGTTTATTGTCTAATTTTCCTTGAATTACACTGTTTAAACTAAATTGATAAGGAGTATGAATTAGGGAGTATAATTTTTAAAAAATGATATTTGGAAATTGGAACCCAAGTTTTAAATTCCATTTTAACTTCATCATTTTACCAATATTACAAACAGTCACCGATATTCGATATTATTCCACATTTATAAATCGCTTTAAAAAATATGATTAAAATGTAGTTAAAAACTTGGGATCCACCAAGTAGAATCCAAAAAAAAGTTTATCCAGAATAACATGTCATTTGAACCAACAATTATTTAATAAATTAATGATTTTTACTTTAATCCTTGAATATTTTGCTTCACGATACACTCAATCATGACTCTGGATACCGTACCCCGCCGGTTGTAGAACCCCGCCCACAAAATAGCAGGCTCGGACTTGAATTTAAATGATAAATGCTAAGTCGATCCATAAAAAACAAGAGCCTATAAACTTCAGGATTGGATTTGGATTTAATGATCAAGTCGCGAGGCAAGTTAGTATGAATCAACAATGTTAGAATTAATAATATTTATACAAATGAAATATTAATCATAATAAAATCTAAACTAATGCGAAGTACTAATACTAACTGATAGGGTTTAACCCACCACTATAGTAGTACGAAGAACTTGACAGAAAGAAAAGATAAACTCTCAGAAAATATAATCCCAACAATGCTTGTATTAGCGTGATTCAGCTTGAATTTCAATAGATGTTTCACCCTCTATTTATAATATAATTTCACTAAATAAATGGTATGTAACCGTGTCATATATTATCGGTATGATTGGCCTGACGTGCGTCAATTGTGGCGAAGAATCGTCATCAGTTACACTCGATCAGTTGGATTGGCGACCCACTTATATTTCTGGTTTTGGCTATGGCCAGATCCACAATCGGTGCTTCCCTATGCCCAGTTAACACCCTGGCTCGTCCTTGGCATTCGTTATATTGGGCTCCAAGCGGCACGCCTGGGCCTTTCCTATTCTACTCACTCGATCTGATATCCATCAATAACAACATTAATAGTTATGATAACAATAATAATATCTATCATTGCTATTATATAATGAGTAATTTATCTAAATATGACTAAAACGTAATGGCTTTCTGAATATAAGACCATATGTTTTTATTTCCTAATGTAGGATCATTAGTCATTATGTATTAGCCATTATTCAACTAGATGTCCAGCATCTCTTGGGCATTATTCTTTTCACTAGACATTATTAAGTCTTATTTAGAAACTAAAAAAGTTTAAATTCTACATTAGAAAATGAGTTATGTTTCAGTCCTATTCAATGCAAATTTCACTTATACAAATACACATGCATACTTCAAAGACTAGAATAATAAGTTTATTTAATCAAATAACTATATTTTATTATTGCTCATCATAAATTAATAATAGTTTTTTTTAAAAAAAAATAGCATTCGTATAACAAAAGTACATTGCGTATATTGTTCGTTCATTTGATAGTATATCTATCTATACTTAAAAGCATGGGAATTTTGGCGGCCTAGCTTTTCCCGCCCAAACAATGTGTCATTGTGAACCATTGATTAGCGTTGACATCTTGATCAACAGTTTATTATTATGGATATTTCATTGGAATAGTAATAAAAACCGCAGAATAAAAATGGCAAGAATAAAAATCATTAGAGAAACATAAGTGCGTTTATTTTACCATATATTATGGAAATAATAATGAGCTGTGGATAAACATGAGAATTTAAATATGAAAAAACACACTAATCTGTTGCAATTATCAAACTTATATGCTTTATTGTTATTACCTTTTATTTATAGCGTTTAATAATGTCAATTTTTTAGTATAATTTTTATACATTATTACCTCTTATAGTTTTTATATAATGTCATTTTTTTAATTTCAACTTTTATTGTACATTTTTACTCTTTATAGAGGTAATAAACTTTTGTTTATTAAATTCACTTACTAAGTACATCATTATCTTTTATAGAGGAAATAAATTTTTATTACCTTCTATGAAAGTTCCAATAAAAAACTTAAATATATATTACTAAACAAAGCATAATGTCAATTTTACCTTTTATATAATTACGGTACATTATTACCTTTTACAGACAAAATAAATTGTAGAAGTAACAATTAATGGTACATTTTTACCTTTTAAAGAGGAAATAATTTTTTATTACCTTTTACCAAAATTTTTGGTAATAAACTGAAATATATATTATTAAAATAGATATAAAGTACAGTAATATATTGCTCCCTATCAAACTCATCTCTTTTATTATTATTAACTTTTATAGCTTTTATATTATGTCAAATTTTTAATATAATTTTTGTAAATTATCACCTTTTATAAAATGTCAATTTTTTAATGTCAATTTTTTACGGTACATTATTATCTTTTATTGAGGTAATAAAATTTTGTTTATTAATTTCAATTAGGGTAAATTATTACCTTTTATAGAGAAAATAAATTATGGAAATAATAATCAATGGTACATTATTACCTTTTAGAAAGGAAATACATTTTTATTATCTTTTACCAAAATTCTGGTAAAACTATTTGTATGTTTTTTTAACTTTTATAGCTTTTATTAAAATTCAAGTAATTAATTGAAATATATATTACGAGTATTGAACTAGATATAAAATTTGATAGTATATAAAAAATATTTTTATATTTTGCTTCCTTTTCGGAAATATATTGTTTGTATAAATATTCACTCTTCCCTGCATGGAGAAGTCATCTATCCATACTTCCATACTTTATTTAAAAAGAGGTGAATTCAATATTACGTTTTCCCGTCCGAAGAGTATAACCATTATATATGGTAATTGTGAAGTCAAAATGGTAATTAATAACATGATATTAAGCACGCTATTAATGAAATCTAATTAATTATTGTGTCAAATTAATTATAGTAATTTTAATTATAGTAATTTTAATTAAAATTGTATATTACGTGCGATTACCATGTCAAATTAATTATAGTAATTTTAATTATAGTAATTTTATTAAAATCGTATATTCCGCTATTAATTACGTGTGACTACATAATTGTATATTAATTACCGTGTCAAATTAATTATAGTAATTTTAATAAATATGGTAATAATTAACCAAGGTATTAATTATATAACCAGGTGACTAGATAATCGTATACTCCGTATTAATTACTCTGTCATTTTAATTATAGTAATTTTAAATTTTTAATAAATTAAATAATTTAAATATAGTAATAGTAAATTAAATTTGTTATAGCACTTTGAAAAATGAATAATTGTTTTTAACCCCGTATGCAAAAATCATACTCCCTCCGTCCCGTGAAACATGTGACTTTTGCTTTTTATGAGGGATTTAAAGGGAGCGTATTTTGGTATTGAATTTCCAAAAATGTCCTTTGATATGATGGGTAAAAGTATGATTTGATGGATAGATTATTAGTAAAAAGGTATGATGTGATAGTTAGGGTATGAAAAAGTAAGGGGTAAAAGTGACTTTTTAATAGAAATGAGACGTGTTTTTGGGACGGATAAAAAAAGAAAGGAGAAAGGTTTTATGGGACGGAGGGAGTATTATAAATACATCCATTTACAAAGCTTTCAAGCCATTACATTCATCGTGAATTTTTTTCTCCTATGCTTCAAAACTGTCATTCCTACAAAAAATGAGGATCTTAACTGCTTTGAAAAATGTTGATGAGAGATCATCAATGTTAATGATGAAGTTGCGAGCAATTAGGGTTTATCATAGATTCCCGTAACAATAATCCAACATATTTTAGTCATAGTCACTCATAGACAACTCTATGTTACAGTTTTAAATGTAACTAGTCGTGGTGAGTTGAAGATTCTGGTATGCAATGAAGACAATATTCCCACAAATTGTACAAATAATGTAGTCTATAAAGAAGTCTCTCGAAATTTGTAAAGCAGTGATGTTTTGTACCTTAGCTTAAAATAATATAATCTCTATATTCTATTACATCTCATTTTTATCATTGAAAAATGATTTGAATTTAATAACATAAAAATGACCCGTGCAACGCACGGGTGTGATACTAGTTTATCTTAATGTTTATATCAAACATTTGATATGTGAAGATAATATTCAACTTTAAAATTTTTTAATGGTTTAAACTTTATTATAAATGTGTACCAAGCCGAAACTCGTGGTTTCAAATTAAATAAGTATATATTTTATTAATCACATAAAATAGTATTTTGAAAGAATTTGATATAACAAATTTATTAAAACTATTTTTGTATAAATATGTAATATTATTTTTATTTAATTTGAAATCAAAGTTTACTAATTTTGATTGAAAAAATGTCAAAAATGTTGGTAGTTGTTGGATTTAGGGGTCGCTTTTGTTTTTACCCAAAACCAAACACGAAATGGAAGGTAAGTTGGCGGTTCGATTTTGCAAAAAAATAAATATGTAAACCGTTGGTTATTCCGTCCGATTCTATACAGTTTTTTATTTCTTTTTTTTTTTTGGTTTTTTCGATTTATAAAATTAGAAATTTACAACAACAACAACCCAGTTGAATCCTACTATAGTAGGGTCTGGGTGTGTGTGTATGCAAACCTTGCCCCTACTCGGGAGTAGAGAGGCTGTTTCCAAGAGATTCCTGCTCCAACTGCACAAAAAATATGATAGAGCACAATAAAACATAGATAAAGCACCAAGTACAATGGAATGGAGTTTGAAAAAAATTATAAAAACACTAATTCGAGGAAATAATAACAATATGTAGTCTTAGGCTTGGTTTTTTGGTGTTATTTTTACTCAAAAACAAAAACTAAACGGAAGGTAATTGTTACATCCGTTTCAATTTTACATAAAAAAAATATGTTTTTAGTGCCTAAAAAATATTTAAGAGATTCCAAATACCTCCAAAGACATCGTATGTAAAATTAATTATGAAAAATTTATGTGTTTTGGTATAATACTTTCATCTTAATTATAACATCAAAGTATTTTTTTATATGTAAATATTTAAATTACTCGTACCAATTTTTATTGTTAATATAATTCTCTATTAGGGTTAGCTATCAGTATTTTTATTTATTCAATTTTGATTTTTTTCGGTCGACTATTTTCAACATTTGACATATAATTAAATAAAATATATATTGTAATTAATCGGATAAATATGTAATACTCCCTCCGTCTCCCATAGATCTTTCCAATAGACCTTTTTTTATCCACAATAAACCTTCTCATTTCATTTTTTAATAATTAAAATACCACAACTATCTCACTTACTTTATTTATTACACTTCATTTAATATACTCCATCCATTTTTATTAAGGGTACTATGTTAAACTTTTACCTTTTTTCAACTCTTCTTAAAAGCCCCTAAAAGTCAAAAAAGAATACAGAGTATTATTTTTATTTAATTTGAAGTCAAAATTTATTGATTTGGACTAAAAAAAATGGAAGAAAGTTGGTAGTGGTTGGATTGTGTTTATTCCGAGTGATATTGGTATAAATAAAGAATTAAGCTAGAGGTACACCAACATGGGGTATCCCAAGTGTACACCAAGCCAACACAGACATACACAGACACAAAGTATCTGTGTTGCACACATATTTTGTGTCTGTGTGTGTCGTTTGGTGTTGGTCTACCCGCCCATAAATAAAAGCCGCCTTCGGCAGAGTTTGTCTTCTTTTGGCGATTGTTTCTCGAATCTGGAATCTAGGCTCATCGGAAGAGCGCGCCGTGCTGGGGATAAAGGTTTGATTTTGATTTCTTCACCATCTTCGTAAATCTTATGCTTTTTATCCCCGTGATCCGCTCTACTAAAGCTTTGAAACAATTTGCTAAACGTTTTTGTGTTTCTGAATTTGCAAGATTGAAAAACTGAATTTTATGGATTTGCCTAAACTTTTTGGATCAGTGATTTTACGAAAGCTTCTGAATCTATCTAAAGCTTTGAAACAGATTTTGGATCCTTGATTTTACTAAAGTTTCTGATTTCACGAATTTGCTTAAGCATGGAAAGAATTTGCAAAAAGAGTACATACATACATACATCTGAATCGATGGATTTCCTGAGGATTTTGGATTTATGAATTTGCTAAAGCTTTGAAAAAAAATTCTAAACCGATGGAAGGCGCTGAAGCTTTGAACACTTTTACCAGAAGAGCCTTGGAATTCCTATTATGAAACCTATTGCTAAAGCTCCATGAATTTCATTTCTTTTATACGCCTAGAAATATAGTTCAACCCATGTTTTCAACAAAAGCTGAGTTTTTGTTTTCCTCTTTCCGCAGTGAGATTGAATGGTTTGGGTGTTTTAGATGTATCACAATTTTACGTGAGAGAGTGAGTGAGTGAAATAAAAACTCCACTCTAAGTACATAAATATAAGTATGCAACTTATCTATTCAAGTTGAGGATGTAAACTTGATTTAGTGAATGACGAGAGTTGCAATCATTGTTGTTGTTGTTGTTGTTGACATTGAGCTACACTTGCAATGTTTTTCATCGTTTCAGGATTAGACGGTCTGATGTATGGGACTCGTGGTGATTGGACACTTTCAGTTTGTCAGAACGGAAAAAAACGAAAGTGAGAGGACAAGGTGAGGAAAAATTCCATACCTCATAACGGAGTAGTGCATCAATTTTCTTTGCTCCTTCTTTTCTAAGATTTTTGTTTTTACGCATTCTATACAATGATGCAGAAAGTTGTCACTAGCACCCAGAATAAGAGCACACCAAAGATTAATGACTTGCCTGATGATTTGCTTGTTGATATAATATCCCGCCTAAAACTCAAAGATGCTGGTAGCACTAGTGCTATCTCCCGTAGATGGAGATATTTGTGGACACTTATATCCGGGAGTTTGAAATTTGATGCTTGGGACAGCGACACATGCAGATGGATGGATAAGAGGAAAGAGTTGGGAGGTTGGGTCAATCGTGTGTTGGAATTGCACAAGGCTCCTAGAGTGGATAGCTTAATCATTTGTTCTCGGGGGCATTGGAGGTTTCAAGATGGTGATGTCGATAGGTGGACACGGTTTGCCATGCGAAAGCAAGTAAAAGTGTTTGAATTGAGTTTGGAAAGGCATAGGCGTAGTTGTAAATACGAGTTTCCTAGCATGGAGAAGCGGTTATTATTGGGGCCCAAGTGTTCATTTGTTAGCCTAAGATCCCTCAAGTTGGCGCATGTAAATGTTGAGGATGACATGGTTCATTATTTATTGGCATCTTGTCCGGATCTTGAGACCTTGTGGATCGAGGACTCAGATTGTACGAAGAATCTCCGAGTTGTTGCACCAAAGTTGAAACAATTGCATCTACGTTGGTGCACGCAGATCCAGAGGGTTGAGATCTCCGCACCGAGTCTTGTATCATTTGCATATGCAGGACATAATGTAGAAATACCTTATTTGTTGAAGAGAGTTGCGAATCTCACTGCGCTACATCTGTGGGGGGGAGCTTCGTTCCCCTTTATTTGTCAAGCTAACAAACACTCAAGTTATTCGGTTCACTTGACAGAGCTGAACCTGGGTCTTATTCTCACGGTTGGTTGGCATTGGAGACCCATATATATATATACACACATATATATATATATACATATATACATATGTATACATACATACATACATACATACATACATACAT